CGTGATTTCATTAAAATGCTGAAAAACATGCATGTTGGATGCTAGGTTGTGAGAGATTCCAGTTCTCTTTTGGTTGTAGAAGACATTGAAACCAAATGTCTCCCTGTTGTTCTTCAGAAAATAGGTGATGGTCATGTGGGCAGGTGCTAGACTGCCCACTGGCTGCCTTTCCCTCAAAAAGGGTCCTTGTGCCCTTTGATGCCATTCACTGAAGCTAGGCAAGTTTGTTAATATCTGGAAGTCAGATGTAATGTTAGGAGCCTTTGTAACTACTGAGTTATGTGCCTCATCTTTTGGGGAAGTCACTTAAAGAAGCGTTTTCTGACTTAGCCAGTAACCCCCATACAGATTAACTTAGCTCAAGAGGGTTCGGCAAAATGTCAGTGGTGGGACTGGGAATGACTGTGACTTCCTCATTACCAGAAGCTGACCTACAAAAAGAAAATCCTCCTTTCATCTCAATTCCATTAGCAGCGTCCAGTGCCTCTCTGTTTTAAGTTCTAGAGCTTCCTTCACAAAACAGGTATATTATGTGGTCTATAGATAGTTCATTCCTAAATGCAAAAGACCTAACTTTGTGCTAGGATTTTTGTTTTAACTATTTCAGTTTTTATCACTTTTAACCGAGAGGTTGGATGAGTGTAATAACCTCTTTTTCCCTCTTTCATTTTTTTCCCTCTGAAAGCTGTTTCTTATAGACTAGATAGAGTAAGGAATGCTGAATTTGATGCTGTCAAATTCTGGCAGTTTAGTAAAAAAAAAAAAAAAAAACTTCCTTACATTAGCTGTAAAAAGCTTTTCTGTTTCCAAGGAATATGATTTTTTTTTTAAAGTACTCCCAACAATTTTTGTGTTATCGCTGCTGTTGCTGAAGTCTAGGCATTCTTGATTTTCACACTAAAAGTTGACTAATGTGGGTGGGGTTCTACTTTTGTATTTCACTCGTTTTGTTTTACAAATACAGCTTTGTTTAAAAAAAGCTGTAGCAATTTGGGGTGTGTGTTGATTTTGTTTGTTAGCTTTATTCTTCTGTCTGTGTGTGCACTGCGTGCACGTGTGTGGTGTGTGTCTGGAGGGTAGAAGACAACATGCACAAGTTGCTTCTCTACATGTGGGTACCAAGGATCGAATACAGGTCATCAGGCTTGGCAACAGGCACCCTTATTCACATAGCCATCTCACTGGTCCAAGTACATTGTTCTTGGTCTCTACAGTTCTATTCCAGTAAGAAGACTTACACGTGAAATAGAAACAGGATATTATCTTGCAGCCAGTACTGGATGAGTAAAAGGATTCCTTTTTGTTAAAAGTCACCAACTTGAGGCTTGACATGTTTTTTGTTTTTGTTTTTGTTTTAAACGTGGAATGTGTTCAGAGCATAACTTCCCTGAAATGCCCAAACAAGTGAAGAATATTTTGCAGTGTTGAAGGCCTTGCTGTTATTCCTTAGTGGGGATCTCTGTCTATGAAATAATATGGATGGTTACATCATTCAAAGGCCACCTTCTGAGTCGTAGTTTGAGGCAAGGCCAATGGAAGGGCCAAAAAAGGATGTTCCAAGTGTCTGTGATAATACCCCAGGAGCAGTAAAAGTGTTTACTGCCTCCTGAAGTCTCTGCAGTGAGCCATGAGAATAATAGGAGAGCTGTACTGTTTCCCAGGGTGCTGTGCCAGACTCTGGCATCCCGACAGCTATGGAGTCTAAAGCCAACCGAAACGTTGACACTGGAAACTCGCCCCACTTTGCTTCCTAACTCAGTTCCTCCACCTGTAAATTAGAGAGATAATGATACCTTGGTAATAATAGCTTTCCCTACATGGTGCTGTGCGCCTGTAAGAAGTACTCTTGCAGAGAGCACCCCAGAGGAGAAGAGGTGCTTTCTGTCACCTCATCCAGGTGTTAGGAGCTGTGATCACAAATGATTTCACCAAATGTTCACTGCATGTAGCCCCATTGGTCAAAATGTAGTTCAGGTGCAGAGGACCAGGCAGATAAAGTCCCTTCACTCTGCTTTATAGGAGGCTGGGACAAAATATGGCTCAATACCAAAGGTGACACATATAGAGATATTTGCATGCCCTGTAACCCAAAGAACAGCACTCTTGTGTATCGGGGCACATTGAGTTCTATTTTGTATCTTAAGATCCTTCATAGACCATATGCCTTTCTTGGCTTCAATTTTTTAAATATATATATATTTTTATCTTTATAATGGTAATTAGACCAAAATTAGAAACAAGCTTCTTTTACATGTCAATCCCAGTTCCCTCTCCTTCCCATCCTCCCCTGCCTCCTGCCTCCTGCCTCCTATCTGCTGCCCAAGGAGGGTGAGGCCTTCCATGGGGGAATCTTCAAAGTCTGTCATATCATTTGGAGCAGGGCCTAGACCCTCTCCCATGTGTCTAGGCTGAGAGAGTACCCCTCTGTGGAGTGGGCTCCCAAAGTTCATTCGTGTAATAGGGATAAATACTGATCCACTACCAGAGGCCACATAGATTGGCCCAGACCTCTAAACTGACATCCTCCTTCAGAGGGTCTGGAACAGTCCATGCTGGTTTCCCAGCTATCAGAGTGGGGTCCATGAGCTCCCCCTTGTTCAGATTGGCTGTTTCTGTGGGTTTCTCCAGCCTGGTCTTGACCCCTTTGCTCATCAATCCTCCCTCTCTGCAACTGGATTCCAGAGTTCAGCTCAGGGCTTAGCTGTGGGTGTCTGCTGCGGCTTCCATCAGCTACTGAATGAAGGCTCTAGGATGGCACATAAGGTAGTCATCAATTTCATTATTGGAGAAGAGCTTTTAAGTAGCCTCTCAACTATTGCTTAGATTGTTAGTAGGGGTCAAACTTATAGATATCTGGACATTTTCTTAGTGCCAGAATTCTCTTTAAACCTATAATAGCTCCCTCTATTATGGTATCTCTTTTCTTGCTCTCCTCTATTCTTCCCCTGACTAGATCTCCCTGCTCCCTCATGTCCTCCTCTCTCCTCCGATTCTCCTCTCCCCTGCTCCCATGCTCCCAATTAGCTCAGGAAATCTTGTCCATTTCCCCTTCTCTGGGGGACCATGTATGTCTCTCTTAAGTTCCTCCTTGTTTCCTAACATCTCTGGCAGTGTGGATTATAGGCTGGTACTCCTTTGCTCTATGTCTAAAATCCATATATGAGTGGGTACATACCATTGTTGTCTTTTTGTGACTGGGTTGCCTCACTCAGGATGGTTTCTTCTAGATTCATCCATTTGCTGGTGAATTCCAAGATTCCACCCTCCCCATCCCCCACCCCCTCCCATCCTCGATGAGTAGTACTCCATTGTGTAAATGTACCACATTTTCTCCATCCATTCTTCAGGTGAGGGACATCTAGGTTTATTCCAGATTCTGGCTATTACAAATAATGCTGCTATGAACATGGTTGAACTGATGTCCTTGTTGTATGAATGTGCTTCTTTTGGGTATATCCTTGGCTTCAATTTTAGAGCTTCCTTAGAATAAAGGACCTGCCTTGGCTCTGACTCTAATGTCAACTTCCACAGTTCCTTCTTTCTCACCTTGGATATCATCTTCACCTGCATGTCCACTCAGTACTGTGGATATTGTTACATAATAGTTATTTATAGTCCCACAATAAGTGAAGAAGGGGGGTTAGCAGACTGAAGGAGGCAGATGTAGCAAAAGAAATTCCTCACCAAAACTTTGCCTGTGCATATTTGTAGGTGTGGCAGAGTTTTAAGGTCAAGTTCATACTCTCTTTGTCCTTCAACTGAGTGCATGTATACCTGATGAAATCTGTGTAAGGTCACGTTTCAAAAACTACATTTGATGGGTTTACTGCTTCCCAGAATGGAAGAATTAGAAAACATGTCAATTCCTGTTTCTTCTTATTTTTTTCTTTTAATTTTTGGATGGGTATTTTTGTTTGTTTGTTTTTGTTTGTTGTTTATTAGACAAGGTCTCACCAAGTAGAACTTTCTACAGACCAGGCTAGCTTCAGACACAGAGATCCACCTGCGTCTGTCTCCTGAGTGCTAAACTTAAAAGTTTGTGCCTCGATGCCCATTTCATTCTCTCTGTCTCTTAAAATAATAGCTTTACCTGGACAATG